TGTCTCTGCGGTCTGTGCATGGGGCAGGTCAGGGCAGGAAGTGCCAGGACCTGGAGGTCAGCACTGGTGCATTAGCAGAGCTGCGGGGTAGGAAGCCCCTATTCTGAACTAGAATAGTGGGGAATGGAGGTGGTGTTGAGGCAGGATTGAAGCACATTAGCAGAGATGCTGTAGGGAGCTGGATCCCAGAGTTGCATGGCCTTGTGGCTGTGTGGGGGGTGTAAAGCAGCAATGCTGGGGATTCCTCAGATAAATGTTTGCTGGCAGATGCAAGGGACTAGATTTGATGTCCCAAAAAGCCTCTTCCAGGCCTATGCTCCCGTAGCTGGAGGTGCTGCATGTGGCTCAGGAGCAAGGCGCGCTGGGGGGCAGACCCAGGGTGGGAGAAGCATGGGGTACTACGGGTCTGCATTATTTCCTAAACAGATACATGGTACAGCCCACAGAGAGCAAACAGACTTCTGTAGTGAGGCTGAATGACTGTCCTATATAGCTTCAATCCAGTCCATCATTGTTTGTTGCCCTGTGTCACTGCAACTTTAAGCAGCAGTAGTCACAAAGTACTTGTGTCCCTGCAATCCTGTCTCAGTCTGTCCCCTTTGTCACCCCTCTCAGCTTCCTCACCGCTCAGCAATCAGACCCCCTTCGTGGGCGCCTATACACGAGCAGTGAGGCTGATCCAACACACTGTAATAACAGTGCATTGAAGCAGACTGAATTAATCAAGTCAGCTGGAGCATGGTAGTTACTGCGCTCCAGCACCCTCCGGCGTCTCATGTATCAGCATCCCTGTGCTTAAAAATGGCTGCAGGGGCATTTTATCTAAAGTTCGTTTAACAAACTTAGCTCTTGGAGCTCCTGGAGCATGTGTATAAACACCCAAAGCTCCTGTCCTGCTGAGAGAGCTGCTGTGACGGAGGCTGAGCCACTAGTGGCCCCATCAGTGCTTCAGTCCCCTTCACTGGGGCTCTTTAAAATTGTGCCCAAGTCATTTGCTGCAGCTGGAGAGTTGGATGCATCCGTGTCCCAGGCAGGAAGCCTGTTTTTACTTTGCACTGTACGAATTGGAGTTGGAAGGGAACAGAAGTTTTCAAGGGTATGATGCTTCCTGGGACATGTGCTTGTAAAACCCAACATGGGCCTAGCCATAAACAGAAGAAGCTTGGCACGGAGCTCATCCAGCGTTGGTGTAATCACTTCTGAAAGTTAAAGCTTCCAGGATCTATGAAATGCTGGGACTGGGATGCTGCCCGTAGCCATCTCTGCGCTCCCAGGGCTTTCAAGCAGGAAAGTTTTGGGTTTTTTTTTACAAGGGCACACAACTCCTACCCTGTTGCCAAACCAACCTGAGGTTCTGGTGGCGGTGGCAGGAGCCCAGGGACGGGGTATGTTCTGGTTCCAGGGCAGGGAAGAGGCGGGTTGCAGGACCCCCAACCCCTGCTCTAAATTGTACCCCTGTTTCAGTGGTTCACTGCAAGAGTGTAGAATAGCTGGCGTGCAAATCTGCCCTGACAGCCAGAGGGGTTTCCCCAAAAAGGACCAAAATGCATGAGAAGGTTGGAGCTCTTGGGGTCACCACCGAAGTGTTTATGCACCTTATGCCATGACTGTTAAAGGTACAGCATATTCATAGATGTGAGATCAAAGCCTGGAACTGTCTCCACCGAGGGCGAGTGTCCTGACCACGGTGCTTCAGGGTTGTGCCTAAACAGGCTAAACAGAAAAGCATTGCTAGCTTCAGTTTAGACTTAGACCAATTTGGTTTAAACTGTAGCTGTCTGCTTCATGTAGTGGCACAAGGACCTTCACACCCAGTTTACAGCAGTTGGGCATCTAATGCCTTTGCCAATCAGAAAGGATTGTCAGCTCCAGTTTGGACCAGTTCATCTAGGGAGAGAGATTTCTCCAGATCGATGTTGTTGAAAAGAAGGGGAGAATTTCTCTTTAATTTACAAATGACAGAGCCTGGGCACGTGTCTCAGCAGAGCACTGTCTGCGTTAGATCTGCCCCTTATCTCTGTCTTGCAGAAATGCCGTTTTGCCCACTTGTGGGATAACAGTTGTTTGGATTGAGGAACGCACCCCCACTGGCGGTTGACTCCTGTTGAGTAACTCTTCCGTTGGCCAACACCATGGGACACGTCATTCCCCACAGGGACGTGGATTTAACCGTCGCTGGGACTGAGCTGTGAAAGCAGAGTCTCCATTTCTGAGCCAAGTTATTTGGAAAGAGCTGTCAGCAATGTGGGTTGGGTTAGAAATTTTTCAGGTGTTTCTTAATTAGGCTTGGTGTGCGTCTGTATGTATACACATGCCTTTACAGGTCAAGTGTTAATAAATATGTGCTTTGATGTCCATGAAATACATTCTCTTTGTACTTTCAAGATGTTCCTGCAGTATAGGAACATGAGACACGGAGTTGCAAGGGGTCTCTTGTGTCATGGGGTCCAGTCCCCTGCTGTCACAAACCTGCACGTTGTGTCATCCTGCCCTTGATCTTCTTATATTTCATCAAGCTCCCATAACTGTCTTCTGATGGTGGGAATCCTTCTGCTCCCTTCCTCCCCCCTGCTAAACTCTGAGGATACAATTGGAATTGGGGTTTAGCTTTCAATCCATCTCCAGCAGTTGTTAACACCTTAGGGCTACAGTCAGCCCAAGGCACAAGCAGAGCCACTCCCTTAAGGGGGTTATGGTGGCTTCTGCCAGGCCTGGATCTGCTCCTGTTAAGGAGAGTGAACTGCAGCATTCAACCTCAGTGGCTGGATACAGTAATGCGGGACCCCAGAGAGCTTCATCCTTCAACCACATCCATCTCTTTATCTTTTTCAGCCTGTCTTGCTTTTTCTGCCCATGGAGAACAGAGCCTTGAATGTGGGGTGGGATGGATTGCCTAGTCCTTCCCCAGCCACTCGGGATTCTCCTCTACCTTTGCTCTCTCCTTTGCCCTTTTACAGATCGGAGCATGGAAGGGGTTGCAAATAACCTCTTCCAAGCCCCCGTCAGTGCTGTCCTGCTACCCCTGGTCTTAGGCACTGTCTGCACCTTCCTCCCTGAACCCAGCTGGAAGTCCCCAGTGGGCAATGAGTTACCACTGCTCTGACCCCTGGTGGCCAGAAAGTGGAGCTGCAAAAGAAGGCTTTCCTTGCCTCCCACTTGTAATCCTCATCCGCTGAGCAGTGGGTACATCCCAGCAGCAGCTTGGGAAGGGCTGGATGGGGAGAGAAGTGTAAGAGTCCACCATGCATAGCAATGCAAATCAGTGGGGTGCAAAGGGCTCCTAGGTGCCACTGCTTCCCCTTGGTATGGATAAATGCATGAGCTGGATGTTACTGCAACAATGGAGCTAGGTATATTGTTGTCATGAGTCCCCAGTCCTAATTTCAGCTGATGATAGTTCACAGTTCCCTTGAATCTGTCTTTTTGGGTTGTTGACAGATGTGTAGGCAGACACATTCATCAGGTTTTCTTCCTGAGGGTCTCACAGCTCTCCAAACTTCATTATTTTAGATGACAACTTAAATCTTTGGTATTTCAAATTCCCTTGGTGACCAGAGTTACCCACCAAATGCACAGGATCCAGCCTGGTATCTGACACCCATATGAAGTCTCCACCAGTACCCGTTCACACACAGGAGAGAGGGAAATAAACTTTGTCGGGAGGACAACTGCAGCTTCAAAGGCACTCAAGGGGTTTTTAGAAATAGCAAGCCAGTATTAAACAGATTTATCACCAGTGGGAATCTTAACAATTTCCCTGTTGATCGGCTTGTGACAGATCCTGGAAATCCAAGCTCTCAGCCTGCCAGGAAAGTGCCTCAGCATGGCATTGCCCAAGTCAGATCGCCTCCTTATCTCTGCTTAGCGCCAGTGCTGTTTCACCTTCTTGTCGGGTAATGGTTGCACCTTATTGAAGACCACCCCATCCCTATTGAGTAATTCCCTTGTCCAGGCATCCCAGCAAGCAGTGTCATTTCTCTTGTGTATCAGGATTGAATAACTTGGGAACTGCGACTGAAAGTATAGAAAACTGTTGTCTTTTATTAGCAACTTATTACTTTAGAAGGCTGCAAATAGGTCATTTGGACCCAGAACGTCATTTTTGTTTGCGAAGTGAGATTTTCTGATATTACCAGAAGTATTATAAAGATATATTGTTATTTTAGGTTTTGTTGCAGAAGCCTTTTGCTTTGGATTTAAATGTGGGCCAGGAAGTGTCTGCAGTCAGGAGAGTGGATCATTTTCCTAGTGCAAAAATGAATGTATTATTTTGCTCATGCAAAATAGGAACAATATTAAATTGCCAAGGAAAATACAGAAAGGAAAAAAAAGGGAAGAAAACATAGACAAATGCACAGTTACAGGGGTGTAGGTTGTAGCCATGTCGGTCTAAGGATGTAGGCAGACAAGGTTCTTTGGGTGAATCTGATATCTTTTTTTAGACCAACTGAAATAGTTGGAAAAAAAAATTTCGGGTTTAAAAACTTTTAGTCAGGCTGAGGAAGTCTCTGTAGTTGGTGTGTGCTCTTCTTGGATTTAATGAATAGTAAACTATTTATTTTTCATTCCTTTTTACTACTTACTTCTCATTCGTTCATTACTTTTCTTTACTATTCATCCTGACAAAGAGTTTTTAAACCCGAAAGCTTGCTAAAAAATTTTTTTCCGACTATTTCAGTTGGTCTAATAAAAGATATCAGATTCACCCAAAGAACCTTATCTATAAATACACAGTGTCAGTTGAGCGAAAATTGAGAAATTGTTTCAGCTTTCAATAACTGACACAGTAAGAACAGAAATAAGGAAATTCTATATTTTGAAAACTGCTGACTTCAGAAAAGTGTGTGTGTAGTATATATATGGCAGTGAGATCCATGTCTGTAGGGTGTTGAATAGTAACTCAGACTCCTAAGTCTGTTCTTGCCTCAAATGCTGACTCCCTGATTGATGCTGGGAAAAGTAAAATGCTCTAATTTTGGTTTCCCCACTTCTCTTCCCAGATGCAGAAGACAGAATTCTGGCGACCACCTGGCGTGGAAAGTCAGGTCGAAGCCCGCTCCAGGCACTTTATGACAGTGACCAGGTAGGTGAAGAGGAAAATGAAACCTGAGGAAGCAGTACTTTAGTAATAAGTGTCCCATTATCTTACTAATGTTTTTTGTGTGCTGTAAAGTTATAGCACCCAACCTCAAGGTATCAAGGTATCCTTTATTGAAGCCACTACATTTAAAGCGAAAGGTCACAACCTTTTGGGCAGTCATTCATTGTAAGAAGTGATCACCACTTCTGCTGTTTCATTAATGTCTGGCCTAGCACAGCAAACCTGAGGTAGAGAAACTGGGATTCAGCTAGGATTTGTTATCTGAGGATTTCAAAGCAAATTCTGGGTCACAAAAAATAGGAAAAATCATCTCTGCACAGAATCATTATCATACACACTTTCCAAGTTATACATGATCAGGTGCTCACTGTACAAACACTGAGCAGAAAAATAGCCCTTGCCCTGAAGAGTTTATATATTAAGAAATATATTTACATGTATCTCAGTCATCTTTCTTTGCAACTCACTTCTATCCAAGCCGTAGTCCCAGTAACACACCAGATAAAAAAGACAATTAACAATACCAAAGTATGTCTTTACAACAGAAGCAGCTAACTGCCACCCATGCAGCCTCAGCCTCTTCCTCACAGCCTCTCTCTTAGTCTGGAGAAGAGAAGACTGAGGAGGGATGCAATAGCAGTCTTCAGCTACCTGAAGTGTGCTTGCAAATAGGATCGAGCTGGACTGCTTTCAGTGGTGCCAGGTGACAGAACAAGGAGCAATGGTCTCAATTTGCAGCAAGGGAAGTTTAGGTTAGATATTAGGAAAAGCTTCCTCACCAGGAGGGTAGTAAAACACTGGAACAGGTTACCCAGAGAGGTGGAATCTCCATTCTCGGAGGTTTCTAAGACCCGGCTAGACAAAGCCTTGGCTGGGATGCTCTAGTTGGGGATGGCCCTGCACTGAGCAGGGGGTTGGACTAGGTGACCTCCTGATATCCCTTCCAACCCTCATTTTCTATGACTTTATGATTCGGTATGCACCAAATAAGCAACTGAATAGAACCTCATGGTACCTGCCTTGAGAGACTGTGCAGATGAATAAATGCCCACTGCTATCCTCTGAGCTTTCTTAGCAAGAAAGAAAAAGTCAGTCACACAACTACATCTGCATTTAACAGGGCTGTGGCCCTTGATAAGCATCACTGCCCAGTGAACCTTATAAAACACAGCAGATTGTGCTGGGTGTGTAGGAAGGGTTCATTATGCCAACAACTGAACTAGGCTTCCAGGCCAGCTCACTGTCTATAGGGAGCTTTTCCCTTGGCAACACTACTTCAAGCTGGGCAAAGTAGCTCCAGTCTGTCCTGTGAGGGAACATGGCCTTGAGAGATCACTGATCTAGACTAGGGCTGCACCCAGAAAGATCAACCATCATGGACTCAAGGCAAATGGTTGGAAGTTAGGTGTCCTAGGGTCTCATCCTGGCTCCTCAGACATATGCTCACTTATAGTTTCATAGTTTGTAGGGTCGGAAGGGACCTTGACAGATCAAGTCTGACCCCCTGCCCTGGCAGGAAAGAGCACTGGGGTCAAACGACCCCAGCAAGGTGTTCATCTAGGCTCCTTGTTTGAGGATAAGGATATTTCCTGCCTCAAGAGAAGGTGGGAGTGGCTGGTGAGGTAATATTTGTTCATTTTTGTAGTGCTTTGAGATCTTCAGATTGGGCTGAATTAACTCAGCCATATCTCTCTTAAAATTGCTTATGTTGCTATTAGAACATCTTTGATAAGGAAGATCCCACCTGACCTTCACTGCAGGTGGTGGGAGTTTCACTGGAAACTAAATCACCTGCCATGGCGCTGCTGCCTCTAACCTCTAACCATGTGTCTTGAGTCAGGCCCATGTGTCATGACAGGAGGTTGCACAGACATCAGATACCATTTCTAGACCCTTGATTGTCCCACTAATCAGGAGGCAGGATCCATCTGCCCAACAGCTCTGGATAACGCCAGACCACTCTGAACCTTAGTCCTTACCATGCAGCTTAACTCTCAGCGCTGCATATCTGCCCATCAGCTTCACAGCCATGTGATCCCAATCCCCTATGTACTGAGTGACTGGTGAGTGTGTTAGGAGCAGCTGCTGCCAAAGTCCAGCTCAGCATTCAGCACATGCCTCTCTTTTGGGTCCCTGTCTGCATGCTGCTGACTTTACAGACTGTTCTCAGAGGAGAATGAATGAAGCTTAGTCCTTTCACAGCAGAGCCTGGGGTTTCCTGGATGCTGGCGGAGGCAGAGAGAAGACACAGGAAGTCTTCTGGCAAGCAGACTCAGCTCCTGCAGCCAGCACAGGGCCAGGCAGCTGTGGGGCAGAGCAGGGGGGACTGCCAGGCCCCTTCTCAGGGTCAGAAGTTTCCTTACACAAATTTAGATCCTTAGAGACATTTTTAGTGGTTGGTAGTCTAAATCTGGGCAGCTGACTGAAATGGAGGGAGGGTACCAGACAGGAGCAGGCAGGAGGGGCGGGTGAAGAGCTCTTAGGTGCTGGGGTCTTAGGGAACTGATGGGATCTGCCACACCACCATTCCCCCAATTTTCTCAGAAATGAGAAGGGCTGGACAAAGAGCCTCCCTGCTTTGGTTGATGGGGCATCGCTCGGCACTGGAGGTGCTGTTGTTAGCTGCAGTCACCTTCTGGGACAGCTTTGCAGAGTGGGGTTCACTCCCCAGACTGCAGAGGGGAAGGACTGTGGAGATTCATGGGGGGAATTTCCTTTGCCCTGGATGTCACCATCCCTGGGTCTTGCTGCCCCATGCCCATTTGGAGACTTCTGGTTTTCTGTTGTGTCTAGTGAGTGAACACATCATAGTGCCCCAGTTGTGTGGTGACAGGGCATCAGAGTGACTCTGTGTTATGATACGATGACAGCAGATCACACCACAGAGACCAGATGTTATACTGTGGGGCTCTTGAGTCTCTCAACCTTGTTTTGGGCTCAGAGCTCCAGGCTCCTCAACCTATTCTTAGTCACTTGGTATTGAAAACTGACTGTGTAGGCATGGGAGACCTAAGGCCAGGGTCCTCAAAGATTTTTACATGGCTAACTTCCTGCCTAAAAGAGCCTGGAAGCCTGGGAGACTTCTAATGAAACACCTGTGCCAGCCTCACAATGCTTAGCTGTGAAATGTGCATAAGGCAACCTTCATGTCATCCCACTGAAATCCCATTGCCCCTTGGCCTGCCCGTATAGTGCAGCATTGCTCTTGAGAATTAACTTGGACAGATCTCCTGGAAAGCACGTTAACTGTTCCCATGACAGCCATCACGAGCCCCTCTTGCGCACCTGGAAGAGCTTGCTGTGTATGGCAATGGTTGTTAATGCTGTAATGTGACTGAATGGCATTTTGCTCTGGAGGAATGGTGGATGCAGAATGGCTTGGCTTTACAAATCCTAACACTTCAAGAATTTAGTTTGTGTTTCTGAAAATAAAATTGAATGCTATTGTCTTGCAAAAAGAGGGAAGTGAAGGGGCAATTTAGCACTGAAATAACTGCAAAACACTCACTTATTCCAGTGGGTAATTTCTGATATGCAGCTGCATTTATTTATTGCAGCGCCTGACTGCTGTCTGTCTAGCTGGTCCCTGTGGATTCAAGGAAAAGAAAAAAAAGCACCTAAATAATTACCTGGTTGTACAGGACACTCCACTGACAGAAATGGTTTCAAATCCAGAAGAATTGGACAAAATCTGCGCTGGGCCTCAGCAGTGGTTTTCAAAAAGTTACAAGCATCAAAAATCTGTGGCTTAGACTGAAAATGCCATACTGCTTGATGATAGTCTCATAATTTGCAAGCAGCCAGGCAACTACAGCAGGGCAGATTCTTAGCTAGTATGAATTGCCATAGCTCTATTGACCTTACTTTACCCCTTGGAAGAGCTGGCTTGTTATTTCCCTGTTAGCAGAGAAAATGAGGGAATGCAGGGAGAGGATTCTGTATCCTAGTCCTAACCAAATTGACAATTAGGAGGGGCCCTGAAGAATACAGTTGTAAACCAGGACATTACCTGTGGCTTCATTTGACTAAATGGCATCCATATCACTGTTCACAAAGGTTATTGGTTAACTCTTTCCAGGAGAAGCTTCCCACTCTGTCAAATACAATGCAATAAACAGCTAATGAATCTGTTGGTATAGCATGCTTCATACAAAGCCTCAACCAGGTGGAAGCTTTTATACTCTTATCCATGCTCCACCCTATGAAGCATTGGTTTGCAAAGTGCTGTTTCTGCATCTCAGCCTGCCCAGTCTATGAACGACCTCAATGAACCTCTCAGGAACAGACTGATACCAGTGGGTGGGACTCCATGCAGGCAGCCTAGGTCAAGCAAGCAGGCTTCTTGGGTGCAAGGTAACAACAGCTGACAGGGGCTGGGCTTCTGCAGGACTGAGAATGTGAGGAATGCAAAGGCCTGGTTGCACCTTGCTCGGAGGAAAAATTTCTCTCTGAGCCATGCTGACAAGTTAATGACCCTAGTGTTGCTGGTTATTCCACAGAGGCCTTCACAGCCTGTGTGTCATGAAAGAAGGTCTGTGGCTATTGGAAAAACACTTAGAGTTGGAGAAAGAGCAAAGGGCAAGTTCAGGATCATGGGTGTTTGTTGGGCAAGCTTTTTTCAGGGATCAAGCCATAGCTCCCCCAGGTCACCTGAATCACTCCTGTAATTGAAGCCCAAGGCCCCCCCCGCTCCATTCCAGTGCACTGGCTCCACCGTTCCAGTGCTGGGTAGCTCACAAAGTGGTTTGCTGAACCCGAAGGAGTGAATCAGTCCAACCTCATGGATGCTTGGGTTAGGGCGCACAGTCCATGTGTGGGGTGGCACAGAGAAGGGCCTAGAGCTGATTGTGGGAGCTGTGTAGGGCTTTGCAGACAAGGATGAGAAATTTGAACTTGATTTAGAAATTGAGGGGAAAGACAAACTCAAACATCAAGCCATTGGGTATGGAAGGGTGGAAGTTCAACTCCCTGCTCTGTGGGATACTCACCTTAGTCCTTCATAACCTGTAGTTCTGGTGACAAAATTTGCAGGGGAGGAGGAGAGGGGCATGGGATGAAGGAAAAGGAGAGAAATCCCAGGCTGCAACAATAGGACAGTGAACAGCAGTTTTCCTGAGCAAGTGGCACAGCTGAGTGCCTGTCTGGAGGAGCAGAGCCCAAAATGGAAGCTTCCCTCAGCTTGACACCCAGAAGTTGTCATCTTAAATCAACAGTTGCACAGAGCCAAATTTCTATTTGTCATTGTGGCCTGTGGGTAGCTAACAGTGGGGTAGCCTTCACGCCTCTCGGATAGGGCTAGCCCAGGTGAGACCCACAAACCACAGTTTGTGTTTAGCGCCTCTTCTAGCCATGCTGAGTGAGTGGGGGCAGGAAGAGGGAAGGGGGAAGTCTCGTTTCAGGTCTCTGGCATCAGTTGCTCTTCAAAATCATACTGTTCCAGCATGGTCTGGTGACATTTCGTAGAACAGGAAATGGACCCAGACTCTCTGTGGTCTGTGATTGTTCAGTTTCTTTTATAGAGCAAGATCATAGACTCATAGAAAAGCAGGGCTGCAAGAAACCTTAGGGCTAGGGACAGACATTCAAAAAGCCTGAGCTTGAACTGATTCAATCTTTGCAGGTTAATCTAACCTGGCTAGGCTAAACCAGTTCGTAATCATTCAGATATCCCTTCTGGACTGAAGAAATGCCGGCACATGCCTGCAGTGGCTCAGGGTAGAAGCCAGGGGGTGCTAGAGCAGCCCTCCCTTCCTTTCCATAATGCTGAGCCGTGGCAGGGTGCTCTGATTAGGGAGGGGTTCCCTCCCCCCTCGCTGTTGATAACAGAGCGTTGAGTTACACAGCAGGGAGTTACACGAGGAGTTGTTAGCATTTATCAACCCATCAAACAAAACAACAGTCTGCAAGCTCCTCTTAAACAACTTTTTCCAAGGAAGGAACAGAGGGACAGCTCCCAAAATCCCTAAGCTGACACTGTCCTCTCTGCCTTTGTCCTATCTCCCACAGCACGGACTGTAGCCAGCATGTGGTATGCTAGCTAATGCTGAGAGGTGTCTGTGTAAGGCAGAGGGGAGGGGGGATCCCTGCTTCAGCAGGGAGTGGTGAGGAGGAGATTGGGCAAGGGGAAACCAGACAGACCCTGCTGTTCCTGCAAGTCTCTGCTGGAGCAACAGCCAGGGAACAGAGGGGAGGGGCCAACCCTGCTGGGCTACAGCAGAGAACAGAGCCTTGCCCAGGGTTGCAAAGCATCTAGGATGCTGGAGGACTCTGGTTTAACTTAAACCAGGATGGAATCTGGGACAGACATTGCATAAACTAGTTTGACCCAATTCAGTTAAAACCTGGTTGAAGGTAGCATCAGGCTTATCTCAAACTAGTTTCAGCTGTTTTCAAACTGGTTTATGTGCACTGAATGTCTGTTCTGTTACAGGCTTAAACCAGCTTCTAATCACTTAAACTGGTTTATGTCTAATGTCTGTTCCTAGCCCAGGAGACAACCTTATCCAACCCACTGCTCAAGGAAGGATCATCCGTATCCAAACCATCCCATGCAAGTTCTTGTATGTTTAAAACTACACAGACAGCCCCATTGTATCACTGCAAGGCAGCTTGCCCAGAGCTACCAAGAACATGCTAACCTGCCACAGGCAAAGCAGTGTTGCAAGGGTCATTTAAGTACACTCAAGCAATCCAAGGACAAAAAGCACGCCCTCCTCTGCTACAGAGGAAGGCAACTCCCCCGCCCTGCGCCACCAAACTGTGGACTAAAATTCCTCCCTGATCCCAAATATGGTGACTGGTCTAAACATGATCCAAGGGGCAAGACTTTAGCCAGGAAGCTCTGGGTTTTAGTCCCAGCAGGAGCATCAACACCCCACCCCAGTCAAATACCCCAGCCTTGCCTGTAGCCAACACTCAGTGCTTCTGATGAAGGCCCAACCCACTCCCCCCCAAACTTGCACCAGTGTAGCAATCAGCAAAGCCCAGCAGAAGTCTCAAGAGAATGAGCAACTCCACACACCATGCTTTCTAACTGGAGAGCCAGAACGCCCCTTTCTGCTGTCATTTCCCCTCCATACATCTATCCCAGCCCAGTGCTGACTGTGAAGTTTGGTTCTGAGCTTATCCAGAGTTGTGGGGAATTTGTCCCTAGGACCAGTGGAACTGGTGGGGAAGGAGGAAAGGAGCATAACACATGCAGGTTGAGGAGGAAAACAAGTGTAGCTGGAGCCTTAGAGCTTGTGGGTTGAAATCTAAACCTGCTACAGAAGGGAATGTGGCATTAGAGCAGAAGGAAGAGAGGGGCCTCTTTGCCATGCATAGAAGCTGCTCGATGCATTGGGAGTGAGGGAAGACCCTGAAGATGAGTCTGGGATGTCAGCAAATGGATGTGTTCTGTGCACCGCAGCCCCAGGCCACGTGCTGGCCTCTGTCTCGCCTGCCTTCTGCAGACAGCTCAGGCAGAAAGGAATGTGGTGTAGGGGGAGGTGGGGGAATGGGTTGTTTGGGCTCCTGGAGGCATCTCCAGACAGGTCTGCAAGCTCATCATACTGCCTGTGGAACAGCCCCAAGTGCCTGCAGGTGCTGAGCTGGCCTTGATGGGAAAGGAGGGAGGGGAGGGAGGTGTTAAAGATTCAAGGGGCATCTGCTCTCTTCATCTGCTGACATAAGGGAACTAGATCATGTGAGAGGAGGGAGGAAAAGTAGCCAAGGCAAGTCTGAACCCCCCATGCATGCAGGGGGAGGGGAGCAACAGAGGTTGCCAATTTAAGGGGCCTCTCAGCAGGCGTCCCAGCATAATGGCTTTATCAGCAAGGTCTGTGCATGGTCTGTGCCATGTCTGTCTGTTATGGCTGCCTCTAATTTTCCCTGCCCTATTCCTACCACTCTCCTTCACTGCCCTTTGCATTGCTAGAGCCGTTCAGGATGGATGTGCCTTTGCCCCACATGGCACTGCAAGGCAAGGACCAGTGTTCCCCTGGCACCATCTGTGTCAGAGATGCAATGCGGGGAGGACTTTAGGATGGTGCACATGATGGAGGGGCCATTCTGTGACTGCATAGCATCACCATAACCAACCCCCTCTCCAGCTTTCCTCCTCCCCTAAAGGCAATTGTGGGGCACCTGGAGCCTGGCTCCAGGGCAGCTCAGGCAGCAGGCAGGCAGTGACAGTGTCCCCTTCTTGTGTCTCCCCAGTTTCAGCAGTCGTCCCTGCAGGCAATTCACCAGCATCGGCGGGAGCTGCTGAGCAGTGTCTGCAACCGCTACACCCGCAAGCGGCGTCTCCTCACCCCCGATGACCTGCGCCACCTTGTGGTGGATGATGTCCATGGGCTGCTCTACTGCTACGTGCCCAAAGTGGCCTGCACCAACTGGAAACGAGTCATGATGGTCTTGACAGGGCAAGGCAAGTACCAGGACCCTCTGGAGATCCCGGCCAATGAGGCCCACGTCTCCTCCAACCTGCGCACCCTCTCCGAGTACAGCATTTCCGAGATCAACCACCGCCTGCGCAACTACCTCAAGTTCATCTTTGTGCGGGAGCCCTTTGAGCGCCTGGTCTCAGCCTACCGCAACAAGTTCACCCGCAGCTACAACACAGCCTTCCACAAACGCTACGGGACCAAGATCATCCGGCGGCACCGGCTGGAACCCAGCGATGAGGCCTTGGAGCGCGGCAACGACGTGCGCTTTGACGAGTTCGTCTACTACCTGTTGGATCCCCAGACGCAGCGTGAGGAGCCCTTCAATGAGCATTGGGAGAGGGTGCACTCACTCTGTCACCCCTGCATCGTCCACTACGATGTGGTGGGCAAGTACGAGACACTGGCGGAGGATGCCAGCTACATCCTGCAGCTGGTGGGGGCTGACATCAACATCAAGTTCCCCTCTTCCTCCAAGACCACCAGAACCACAGATGACATGACAGCCCAGTTCTTCCAGGACATCAGCCCTTTCTACCAAAGGAGACTCTTTAATTTATACAAAATGGATTACTTGCTCTTCAACTACTCCATCCCCTCATACCTCCGCATTCAATGAGGGTGGGATCAGGGGGCTCTGGAGAAACAAGTCATTCACCCCTTCTTAGCTAATGTAGACCGCCCCCACACACAGAAACTCACTACGTGGTTCATCTCTTTACCCTCCTCTTCGTTCCACTCCAGGCCAGTGAACACCGCGTCCTTGTATCAGGGTTACACTGGGATGGGCCACATGGCATGAGGTTGTTTCCTGGATTAACACACTGAAACTTGGGGCTGTAGCCCCCATCCTACCTACAGGAGGTTGTTTACTGGAACAGGACACTGCTGTTTAAAGGCTCAGCCTTTGTGGTTAGATGCTAAGAAAATTCTCTGTAGATCTAAATCTGGAGAAGGCTCCTTATTCAGGGCTGGTTCCCTTCTGATCCTTCTCCCCCTAGCTGTACTGTATGCAGCTGAGTTCAGGAGATGTTGGAGTCTTTGCTGGGCAGAGGACAAGTTGCAGAGGGGGTCTCTCAGAGATTTGTGTAATATGAGAAAAGCAATAATTTAATGTGTATTTTTATTTGTTTGTTTAAAAGTGCCTCCTGACCCCTTTAACCTCCCCTCAAGCTACCCCCTTTCTCATTGACTGGGAAAGGGGGAGGAAATGTGAGCCATCTGTGTCTTAGTGTGAACTAGTATTCCTCTGTGGCAAAGCCTGTTTTTAGTCACCTTCCACTTGCCTTGTGTTGGGATGCAAAATACCGTGTTGGATGACAGAGAGGCACATTCGTCCGTGGTAGAAACTGCATGGATTTTTGTGGAGCTATGACAGTTTGCACCAACAATGGATATGGCCCAGATTGTGTGTGTGTGTGTGTGTGTGTGTGTCCAGTATGATAATTAAAGACCACGTGACCCGCTTATTATAAGAGTAGGTGTTAACTGCTCTTTGAGACGTGGACTTGTATGTTCTGTCTGTCCGCATAGTGCTGATTACAAGGCCCTATCTGGTTACCCTCTAGGACACTGCTGCACTGTAAATATTACCTATGAATAACCATGAAGTTCTGGCCAGATTCCAATATGGCTGCTTAAATATGGCCTACAGAATATATTCTTTCCCCTACTGCCATAAAGTGTTGTTGTACAGTGCTCAATGGCTGCTTCTTAACCCAGGGGTGGCTGTATTTCCTTGGGTGGGGCATTTTGGCATGGGAAGTGCTATAGAAATCGGAAGCTATTATAGCTATGAAAAGGTTGGTGCTGGTTGGTGTGTGTGTGTGTACAAGCATGTGTGTGCATATATATATGTGTGTGTAAAAGAAAATAAGAGAAAAAAACCCTTAAGAGTTGCAGTGGAAGTTTCTCAACTAGCTAGCTGGCTTTGGACAATTCATTACTTGAAGAAAAGAAACAATAATGACAAACCCTTAAAATTTTACATTCCAGCCAGTTCAAATAGATAGATTTGCTTAAACAAAGAAGCATTTCAGTCTTCACTCTCTTAAATTCAGCTTTGGCTCTGCATATAGAGCACCATCACCCTTGTAAGTAAACATGCTGATAATAGGATTACCCTATGATGTGTCTGCTGATTCTGTTGTGAACACTTGACTTACTAGTGCAATACAGTGGCAAGGTTTTATAAAACCCCTATGTGCTCAGCCTGTTCTAAAGACAAATATTTTTATTCTGTTTCTTCTTTTCCTTTTGTCATTTTTGCCTCTGTGCCTTCAGCTCTTAGTTTCCAAATTGTTCTTAAAGAGCTGAAATTCCTTCTTTGGTCACTGTACTCTATAAGGCCTAAGTGAAACAGCTCTGGGTAGATCCCAGATAATGTGGAGGTTTTGTGTAGATGAGCACTGAAAAGCATTGGACTGTTTGACTGACTCCAGCAGGCTGGATTTGAGTGAAATCCAGTAGAGGTGCATTGATACATAGGTCCAATATAGGATCTGCACCGATATAAAGAAAATTGGTTGTATTGGAAATCGGCCTGATGTGGCCAATATGGCCAATAAATGCCTGTGCTTGTGCGCAACTGCAGTGCAGCACATAGGCAGCGAGGAGCACAGCCTGGCAGCTTGGAGAGCTGCTGCAGCTGGTAAGTCTGGTGTGGTGGAAGGGGCATGGGGGGCAGATCAAGGCCCCCACGGTGAGGGAGAAGTGGGGCTGGGGCCCACACAGATCCGGGGCACATGCCCCCCCACCCTCATGCCCTCCTGGATGAGCAGCGGGAGCAGCGGCAGGGACCAGCAGACAAGCAGGTGAGCGCTGGGCCAGCAGCTCCTGGAGAAGCAATGCACTGCAGCAGGAGCTGCCCCCACCCTCCCCATGACCCCAGATGAGCCACAGCTCCATCCCACGCCTGCCTCGCCCCAGCTGGGCAGTGCTTGCCCCAGGCCCAACTCCACTCCTCCCTCACCACCTTGATATGCCCCCCCATGCCCCTTCCCTCCCTCTTCCCCTTCCACCACACCAGACTTACCAGCTACATGCAACTCTCCAAGCTGCTGGGCTGGTATTGGAACTCAGATCTGTATCGGCTGATATGCCTCCTTAAAAATCAGCTATTGATATCAGCCCCCAAAATTTCAATCGGTTAACCCCTAAAATCCAGTAGCGGAGAAACATAAAGCGTTGCAAGATGTAGCCACTTTATTTGTGAACCTCTCAAAGAAGTTTGGATCAAATTCTTCGTGGAGGTTTGGCTGCTCCTGGTTCTTGCTTTATTTTGGCTATTGCCTGGTAAAAAGTCTATCGTTTGCACATTTTTTTTTTAAATGGATTATAGATAGGGGGAGTCCAACTTAGGATGGTAAAGGGTTGATCCTTTTCATAAACCCCCACCTCCAACTCAAAACTCTACCCAGTCCAAGAGTCAACTGATATTTCTCCTGAAATGCTCAGTAATAACAAAGTTAATAGTGATATAGTTAATAGTCAGCAATGGGTACTTTCCAGCCATTATACATTTTTGCACACCTTTCACCATGCCGCTATCCATGGCAATTGAGCACTTGTGTTGGCCTGTGGAAACTGGTTGGCTCAGGGGACAAGGAATGGCATACACTGGTTTTCATCTCTAGCTTGCTGTTCCTAACTCACTCCAAATGGATATAGTTTGATGACTGCTTGATCACAGCCCAGTTCCCAGGAAACAGTTATTTCCATTCACAAGCCAGCATCCAAGCTGACTGTCTGAATGGTGGATCTCAGCTGGGAACAAAAAGTCTAGGGATTGAACTACCACTGTCTCTTAGACATGGTTCTGCCAGCGCAAGGCCAAGCCAAGACAAGAGGAAGGGGCAGTGGAAGGAGGACATTTAAAACACTTCTCTCCAATGACGAAGAGCTGCTCATTGAGAGTGAGTGGGATTTGTGCTTTTAGACCATGCAAGCATGCACTCTTAAAAATCCAACCCTCACTTGCTTTGAATGATTTTGCTGCAGTACATCTGTCAAATTCCTGGTGATTCAAATCTCGATCGTTCAAATACTGCTCTTCAGTCCCCATTCATGTGAAGCAGAATCTGCATGTCATCAAAAATAGCTGCTTTATATTTCATAAGCAACCAAGTCAGACTGGACTGGAGTTTTCCATGCATTATAAATGCTTTGCACTTGCCAAACCAAACCAACAAATTCAGCTTTTGGCCAGGAGCCCATGAGCCCAGGCTCCCCATCAAAAGTGAGAACTGCCCATTCCATTAACAGAAGAACAGACTTGCTGGTGTCAGGCTGGAGCAGCAGGGCATATAGCTCCATCTCTGAGCTTTCACTTACCGCAGCTACAAGGTAGCACCGCTCCGATTAGCCCATGTCAGAACTCAGTGTGTATAAACCCAGATTATATTTATTCCAAGTGGAGTTATGGGGACACCGTGAGGTCCACTGATAAAATTGCAGGCATTTTACACTGAATGGATGCCATTGCGTTTCATGTTTTGTGAGTGGGAATTGAAGGTGGAATGCTGTCCTCCCTTCTCTAAACAGCACCAGCCCCTTTTGCTTCTCACAGATTGCTGGGGTAATTCAAACAAAATGTTTTCCTTCACTTAGGTTACTGGTCCAGAAATGGTAGCTATGGATGGACAGCATGCCCACAAAACCTAAGAGGATACCTCAGAAGTATGGCGTGCTGGACGCCCCCAAATAGAGCATGAAGAAAGGTGCTGTTGCTTTTGCTGTTTCCAGAGGAATCTCTTAGGGCATAGCAGGTAGGCATCAGTGCCAGACATAACAGATGCTATGTCATAGCAAATAGTCGTGTTGGTCTAAAAGCAAAAGCAGTCAATGTGGTAGAGACGATATCTTTTATTAGACCAACTACATAGTTGCAAAAAAAAGTCTTCATTTGCAAGCTTTCGGGCTCATGCACCCTTCCTCAGGCAAAGGAGAATGCAAAAATTGTAAAATGTCTCCCTGGTAGAAATGAAACTTCATATTGTACAGGAAAGCTGGAGGGTGGTATAAGTTCTTCTGGGTGGAAAAGTTCATTTTATGCTGATTAGGCTCGAATAAAAGTTGGAGCAGTCAATTTACCTCAAAGGTGTCTGATGGCAAGCAGGATGTTGAATTTTGCTTACTTGCCCAGAAGAACCTTTCCATCACCAGTCCTCCGGTGAAATATGAAACATCTTAACAAGAAAGAAGCAAAATTTCTTTCTTTTTCTCTCTTTAGCAGCAGAAGAGAAGATGGAAGACAGAGAAGAATGGAATGGGTCTGAGCTGAGATGGAAAGTAGGATACGGCTCTCCCTTCCCCGTAGGCAGGGTGGCTGGTTAGGCGTACATGGAGGGAGAAAAAACTAGTGCTGTTTTCTGCAGGTGAGGAGAAGCATCCTCCAAATTCTGCCTTCGGCCATCCACTGCTCTCAAGGCACTAAGACGCACGTGCCTGGTGGGCTGCAGCTGCAACCGCATGCCTCCCATGAGCTGGGGCTTCTTATAAGATGCTATACATGTTTGTATTTATGCCTGTCACCCTGGTATCTGAATACTGCCAGCCACACCCATCAGGGCACAACCACATGCTTTGCAACATTTAATTAAACCTCATCCCTTGAGCTCCTGATGAATAGATCATAGGTGTATTAACGGACGGGTCAGTACCAATTCAGGGCCATGGGGTCCTCATCAGCAGGGAAGTGAAAGCGGGGCTTTAAACTTGGGCCTATTTCCTGTTAGGGAGACAGAAATGGTACCAAGTTTAAAATCGCAGCTTTCACATTTGTTTCCCTGCATCCGGGTGTGGGGCTGCTCCACCAATGGGGCTGGTGGGGCAGGCTGGGGCTGGGCCACCCAGGATTGCTGCGCCTCTGCCGGCAGGCAGCAACACTGGGGGCCTTGGGGTGCTATAGCCCCCCAAAATTCACCTTAGACCCTTGTAGCCACCCTTCCCAGTGCCGCCACCCACCCGTAGAAGCATGGTGTGGGGCTCCTGCCCTGACCTGGCCCGGCCTGGGGCATGTGCTCAGCCACACGGACACGGCCAGACAGCAACTCCCTGCAGGTCAGTGCAACGAATGGGGAAAGCGGAGCCGGGGGGTCCCTCAGTGATCAAGAGTGTGGGAGAGGGGAGGTCCTGTGAAGTATGTGGCTGGGTCTGCGTGTCTCCATGTGTGTGTGCGTGTGTGCACGTGCATCTGTGTGTATATGTGTACACGTCTCTGTGTGTGTCTGCATCTGTGCATCTGCATGTGCATCTGTGTGCACACATCTATGTGCATCTGTGTGCATGCATCTCTGTGCCTCTGCATTTGTGCTCACATCTGTGCGTGTGCATGCATCTGTGTGCACCCGCAGCTGTGTCTGTGTGTGTGAGTGTGCATGTTTGTATGCATCTTTCTGTGCATCTGCACATTGTGCACATCTGCATGTGTGCACGTCTGTGTGTGTGGGTGTCTGCGCATGCATCTGTGTGTGCGCATGCATCTGTGCATGCATGTGCATGTGTCTGTGTTCATGGAGTGTATTTGTGTCTGTGTTCATGTACAGAGAGTGAGTGGGAGTAGAGTGTGCGCCTGTTTGTGTGCACGCTTCTGTGTGTGTGTGTGTGTGTGTGTGTGTGTGCGCACACGCGTGCTTGGCTATAGTTGGGGAGGGGAAGGCAGGTAGCAGGAAGAAGAGGCATGTGCCCCCCCCCCCCCCCCCCCCACGGGCCAGCTCCAGTGTGGGCAGGGGGCCTCCAATTTTGTATTTGTCCAGGGCACCAGTATACCTTAATCTGCCTCTGGAATAGATATATAGCAATATACATATCATTCCTGCCCTGCACGTGAAAACAGGCACAGAGAGCCTGAGCCACTTACCAGAAAACAGTGCCAGAGCCAGAACTGGAGCCTAGGTCTTCTCCCTGTATAACCAGAGACCCTCTCCCCTCCTCTGTCTTCTGTTCTGCCAGTGCCTCCTCTCCTAAGGTAGACCCATGTTTGCAGGAACATGATGCAGCTGAGCTTCCCTGCTTCCTTGTGCCCATCACAGAGTCACCGCTGTTACGGATTCTGAGCAGCAATGGCCAGGGCTGAGTTACTGCAGTGCGAAGCAGGAGAGCATCCTCTCAGCTGCCCCATAGCCATCGAGGCTAATGGGAGGAAAGCCTGTTTCTCAAAGACATTCAGTTGCTGTGACTTGAAGACTCATCAGGCTTGATATTCAGGGCTAATTAGGAG